TACAGTTTATAAATTAGAAATTGAAACGGAAATGTGAGTAGCAGTCAGGTGACATTTATTTCAGTTCACTTTCAGCCCTGTCACTCAGCTGTGCTTTGTGAGTGTATTTGTGTTTTCTATTTAGCTCTGTCCACGGGACATGCTGTCGGAAAAGTGGGTTTGTAATTAGCCCCTGGAAATCTATTTTTTGGGTAGGATTCCTCATTACAAATACGCACGTCAGAGGGGGAGCTGATGCATTGTCCACCTGGGATTCTCTGTTACAAAAACACCCTGGGACGTGTTTGTTACGTTCTTGTCCTTATCGGCACTCTTCGCCGATAAATGCTTCTCGACGCTCCCTCAGCGTTAATCTACCGTTAGTCGCAATCTAAACAGAAATCTTTTGATGGATTAGCGGACATCGCTGATTAAAATCTAGGCCAGATGTGTCTGTTCTTCCTGTCCTGTCAGAGCCCCTGTGCTCTTGGCAAGTCTTGCATATTTCGGATATCTAATTAAATATTTTTAATTTTTGGGGTCTCGGTCGTATTGGGGAAATTCTAATTTTCTGGGTTGATTCCTGCAGATCTTCCTAAAAATAGTTCACATTAAAAATCACTGGTGTGGGAGTATTTCTTGCTTGTTTCAAATCTGAAATGAAATTGACAAACCAAAGGGCTTTATGTTATGATGGTGACCAGGAGGTTTAATGCATATGGCTTTAGCTAGCTGTTATTGCGTTTGTTAAATCCTGAATTGCAAATTTAAATACTGTCATTAGCATTCTGGAAGAGAGACAATTTGTGCAGGTTTTGAAACGTATGATAATCAAACACTAACATTTAAGCACATTCAGTTTGCACTTCTCTCTTCACAGACTGACCTGAGAAATAATGTGATTTCCTGCCTAGAGAGATGGTAATTGAAATTATCAGAAACTCTCTGTGGAGGCTTTTGTATGCAGCGGACGCTGTATTTTATCTGAGCTCCTTCAGGCCTTAAAGAAAGCCACCGTTTCCTGGTTTTAGTTCAGCTCGCTGCAGCCGGTAGTCACGCCGCAGTGTCACAGGGAGACTGATAAGACATTTCAAATAGGCACTTGAAAGTAAATGATCATCTGAGGCTTTTATTGCACGTTACTGTTCATAAGTCGCAGATTTCCTTTCTTTTTTTTATGTTCCAGCCGGGTCTCTTTAATAACAACATGTTGAATTTGCTCCTTACAATAATCTACACTTTCTTTTGGGGGCGTGACTTTGTGGTGGTGGGGGGGGGGGATCTGTTCCCATGACAGAAAGGTTGTGGACCAGCAGAGTAATGATATCACAGCTGGACGCTTGATCTAGGCCCTTCACCTCCAGGGGCCCCAGGGATGCTGACTGACCCAGGATCTCTGATCCTGATTTATATGTCACTTTTGACAAAAGCTTCTGCTAAAAAAAGTTTTGTCACCAGCTTGCTGACAAATTGTTAAAGTAAAAATGCCGTAATTTGGAGTTTGATGGCAAAACATTCCAATTATATAAGCAAATGATAAGCATTTGTATTAAACAGTGTGGAAATTTTTAGGGTTCAAATTCTTTCTGAGTTGATCCTTCCAACAATGACATTTTAATAATTTGGATGGATGGATGGATGGATGGATATGATTATTAAAACTGGAGAAGGTGGTGATTCAGTGGGTAGCCCTCGCAGGATTGTGGGGCCAGTTTCTGACCATGCATCTGTCTTGTTTTTTCCATGTTCAGGTGGGTTTCCTCCCTCAATTAAAATATGCACCGTTAGGTGAACCGGTGTCCCTATAATATTGTGTGTGTGTGTGTGTTACAGTCCCATCCCATCCAGGATGTTCTCAGCCTTGTGCTCTATGCTTTCTGGGATAGTCTCCAGACTGGCAATCGGTTATGAGAAATGGGTAACTAAAACTTACTGTGACCTTGTTTGCTGAGCACTATAAAAATGGTTAACATTTAAAGCTCGTATTATTACCATACTAAATGATAGGGTCAAAAAACATTTATTGACCTATATAACATGGTACTTAACTGACCTTAAGTTTTGGGGAAAAAATTCTACACCTTGAAAGTATTTTTTTCTTCGACCTAAGAGAGTTTAGAAATAAAGGTGCTGGACAGAGGGAGAGGCGACGAGAGGAGAAGTTCAAGCGTGGACGCCAGTTTGTCTCCAGAGAGGTGACGGGGGCATGTGGTTGGGGGAGGGAAACGTTCTACTTTCTGACTAGGAAGCCATCTGGGGAGGGGACCGGGGCAGGGGGGGCTTGGCAGACGGCATTTTTCACCGGGTCCTGTTGGGAGAGACCATGGGATACAAGGTGCTGCTGGAAAGCAGAAGCAGGGAAGTGCTGCTTCCGCACCTACCTATAGTCTGTCCATGGCCTACTTTCTGCTCCGGATCATGCCCTAGATTCTCACCAAGACGCAGGCTTTAAGATCCCGCTACTGATAAAACCGCTAGGCCCCAGTCTGTGTTATTAACGTAAGCTCATCAGGATAAGACTTACAGTGAAGTTCTGAACATAAAAATCCAATGTTTTCGGTTGTTATTCAGTTTGATCCACTCTGTATAACAGCTTCATGGAGTTGAACAAAATTCGAACTGTAAATGTTTAGAAATTTATGTCTAGGGAGTGGTCTTTGGTGTGTAGTAGGGTAGTTGATTTTGCCAACAGGTTTTCAATCTGGCTCTGGGTTTTTATGAGATGACCTTTTGTACGTTCTCATAATGGCTTCCTCCGGGTGTCCCTGTCCCTGACTGCAGAGGGTTCTCTCTGAATCACGGCTGCACAGTCTGAAGTCTGAAGCGAAGAAAACTAATGAGTAGAATCATGTCATTTGAATTAAATCGTGTTAAAATCATTACAGTGCAACTTTTAAACTTTCTGACTTAATGATCTACAGGAAATGTACGTTTGCTTGCGGTTAATATCTGTGTCATGAGCTGTGCACATGGGATTTGAGTCTGTTATATTTCTCTTAATGAGTTTTCACAGATAGCAACACGGTTACCTGGACTTGTCCTACCTCTTTAGAGGAATATTTTTTTAAAACGACAGCTTCCTTCAAAGAAATACAACAGGAGGTTTCTGACCTGTATATCCGCACCTGTTTCTTTGGTAATGTTCTAATATTCTTTAAGGTGCTTTGATTTATGAAGTGAAAGACGATAGAGTCATTGTGTTATACATTTAACGAAACTTGAAAATCCACACATGCGCATTGGGTCCGTGTGAACTCCATGTCTATGGTCTTGACTGTCTGGCAGGGAGCTGGGAAGCTGCAAAAACATGTACTGTGTGGCAGGGAGGGAGCAAAAACATGGACTGTCTATAGGTCTCTGAGGACCGGGTTGGGAAACACTGCATTAAGATGTAACTCGTGCCATTTCTGTCAAGCCAACACAATAATGGCAGATTGCTTAAACTGCACTTGTCGGGGTAATATATTTGAGAGCCGGGAGCATAAACAGCGATGTGTTGAATAATTCATGACGATATGCCAAGTTCCTCACAATTAAAGCACAGATCGCTGGGTGCCTTTAAGTGAGGGGGTGCTGTTGGTCCCATATTTTTGGAACCAGCTCAGTTTTCTCTGCAGGAAAACAGCTTTCGGTTTAACATGGATGCCTCAGAAAGTCTAAATACATACATATATAACATCCCAGCCAACCAAAACATATACCAAGGAATAAACAGCTGTGCCAGATCCACAGAAAAACAATACGGCACGTTTATTAACTAAAAAAAGAATTTTGCTTGAGAAAACAGTGACAAGGTGGAAAAAAAAATTTAATGAACAGGCATGTCCAGCGTTTAAAAATAAAATGACAGTAGCAGAATGAACAGGTTGGGATTTTTGGGAACGGATCCCTTTTTCATAAAGCGAAGATGGGGAGTTCTTCTGGATGCGATCAGGGAGACAGATGGCCAAACAGCTCCGAGATGAAACAGGATACTAGCATCCTGGATGCCGTTACCATTCGCTTCATACGTGCCACACATCCCTGCTACCTGATCCATCTATTCATGCATTTCCTCTCCTCATGAAGTACACATTTTCATACACTGCCGTGTAATATATGCAAGAACAGAAACATACATTTGCATAGTTAAAAAGTTCCTTATATAGAAATTATTTAGCATAATGCATATTGTCTTCACAACAATGGATTCTAAGCATTATTTCGTATGTTACATATACCAGGATGCCAGAATGTTATAGATACCTCAGCGTTAGCTAAAATATTAATGGGGTAGCAGGATAGTGTTACATTGACCATTCATGTTAATATATTAATGTTAACAATGCTAGTAAACTCTGTGTACATACTTTATCATTATAACACAGGGCATATCTATTATTTTGTCTATCACCAATAGGCAATATAAAATGTTTTCATTACGGTCTCTTTTGCTATTCAAATTTGCTTTGATGTTTATTTTTGGATGAAACCATTTTTCTGGTGATGCCTGTGTTGCACATGAGTTCCGGCACGTTTGTTAGCTAGATGGTGGGACAGTAGCACGCTGAAGACGGATGGCATGACCTCCGCCGATCTCGGGGCTCTGTGCAAGTCCTTCTTGTGGCAGATGGATCCTCCTCCTTTCATTTCTCCCGCAGAGCCCAGCCGAGCTGAGATGGTTTATTCAGGGCTCACGCATGATGTTTGGGAAATCAAATTATCCCCCGTCGCCCATATCGTGAGACAGCACGGTATTGATTTTCAGAGAACATTGTTTCTCTTTTGGGGTTTCGAATACAATGGCAACCTAATGAATTATGTAATGTTGTATTACAGTCCCAAAATGATGATGATTATGATTCTCTCTAGGGCCCCATATGCAGGTCACAGCTTGCAGAATGCAAAGCCGGTTTTCTCTCCACGTGAGGTTTGCTAAGCGCATCAAGGACAGGGGGGCTTTTTGAAGGACGACGGCTTCTCGGTACCTTCTCGGTGCCCTGCCGGCCTTGCTGTGAAGTCTGCCTTGTCGCATCTCGCAGAGCTTGCGGAGAACTGGACAGACACCAAAGAGACCCTCCTGGAAGGCATGGTGTTCAACGTCAAGTACCTGGGCATGACGCTGGTGGGGCAGCCGAAGGGAGAAGACATGGCGTCCGCTGCCATCAGAAGGATAGTTACCATGGTGAGCAGCTCTCTCTCTCTCTCTCTCTCTCTCGCTCGCTCACTCTCCCGAATTACCACTATGCTAATTGTCTTAAATATGCAACATATTCTGCATAATACATTCATGATAAAAACTGCACAGCAAAATTGATCCTGGCTGTTCTGCCTTTCTGTGCATTTAGTGGTATGTCATAAGTTTGCTTATTTCATGCTGTATATTACGGAGAAATTTTGAGTTATATCATCCATCCATCTCCCAGCTTCTTATCCATCCATCCATCCATCTCCCATGCAATATCACAGAGGTCCCAGAGGTCTGGTAGGATCTCCCAAGCAGCACAGGGCACAAGGCAAGGGTTCATCCTAAATGGGATGCCAGTTAATTGCAGGGCATAGAATTACAATATGTGACGTATATTTCTGTGTATGAACTAGACAAATATTTACAGCCAAAAGAAGTTTGAATGTTACACTCACTGGACCCTCATAGCCCTAACTGTCAATTTACATGTTAAGTGAGGATGTCTGGACTTTGAGGCTGACCCCTTTGTCTAAATGAGTATCTGAGTAACAGGATACCGCAAATGATGCGTGACTGTGTCCCTCCCAGAACAGGCCAGGAGTCCAGTCCATCCTGGAAAATCCACACATGCAAACAAACACACAATTTTGATGAAAACTGTCTCTCCATCCTCAGAGCCTCAAGTGTGTTAGATTAAAACAGGAAGCCCGGGTGCCCTGAAAAGGCGTTGTCTCCGAGATAGAGCCTCTGAGATTTACTGCGTGAGGGGATGTGGGGGGGGGGGGAATCCAATTGTCTACCCGCTCCCATGGCAACCAGGCTGCTGGAATGTGATTAGCGGGAATATTTGTTATTTCCAATTTGATATTTAGTGACGTGCTGTCTCGCGGCTCCCAGACCGTGAAGCTGCACGATATGGTGGCGGATGGCAGATTGCTTTTCTGTTCAAAGCACCTTGGTGCCAGAAGTACAATGCTTAGCAAAAAAGTGCAGCGTAAGTATCATTTACAGCAAAATGCTCTCTTCTCATTACAAGTACGCTGTCGCCGTCTTTGTTTTGACTTTCCTGCAGTGACATTGGATTATTAAGCTGTCTTTCATAATGGGGAAAAAATCCAGACAGCCACGCTGCTATTTTAGTTGTCCTTGGGAAGTTCTTCTTAAATAATCCCAGTTTTTCCTTCAGTCTTGTTCACCCGTTCAGTGCCATTGTATCAATCAGTGAAATGTGTTCGGATTCCTGGTTAAGACCTTCACCTCCTACTTTAACCAGTTCAGTTTTCATGAGTATTGTGTATAACTTGCTTTAGCGTTGTTGTGTTTTATGTGTCAATCAAGTGGAGAGTATATGAACTCGCTTGGAAAGTAAGGATGGTGTTAATTGTGCAAAGGCTATAAAACGTAAAGATAAAACTGCATGGCTTTGTCCTCCTTGTGTTCTGTTAAAAATATATCTGCTGGTCACTGAGTCCAGTAACCTTGAATTAAAACCTGATGGAGAGAATATATGGAGATTCAAAGGCAAAGGAAGGCAAAGGAAGACAAAGGGATGCAGGAAGACCCGCCTTCTTTTGGGAGTGCTGTGTTTTTATTGGCTGTCACACAAGAAAGGAGAACCGTTTGCTATATTTTTTTTGTAGTAGCACTGAATATTTTTCAATTTCGCTGAAATGTTTAAAGATGTCTGATACTGCTGTTTTTGTATCCTCGGCTTCGGCATTCCGGTTTCTGGGAACAGGAATATTCATGGAAGTCCTCAAAGAACTGAAAAATCTTGACTTTGGACTTGTTCCTTTGAAAATACCTTCTGTCTGTTGTATTTACAGGCTAGAGCCAGCGCAAAGAAGTTCAGGAAAGTGACTCTGACAATCTCTCCGAAAGGAATCATCATCGTAGACACGGAGACGAACAACCTTATTGAGAACGTCTCCATATACAGGTCAGTGCTGTCGCTCTGTCCTCACAGCAGATGTTTACTGTGGTAAAGAGAGCCAGCGAGTAACTTTGAGGAGGTTAAGTGCCATGTGAAGTATTACATCCAGGCTTTGGCTGCTCCTTGCAGAAGACAGGCAACAAGCAACAACCCTCTACTCCTGGTTCACATGGTTCATTTCCAGCCCCACAAGCAAATTGGCTTGTGAAACGTGAGGGAGGGGTAGCATCCAGGGGAAAGTCAGGTAGTCAGGTGACAAGCACTTCCTGTCAGGTGACAAGCACTTCCTGTAGCTTTACATCTGCATGCATTTACTTATTTCGCAGATACTTTTTTTCCAAAGCGATGTACAAGTGAGGAAAGCTTGGAGTCAGTCAGCATCCTGTGCCTCTGGAGCAGCTGCTTGAGTACCCAAAAGTACTATTATTGCTTAGGGATCAAACCCACAACCTTATGGCATGGATCCCTAAACTACTGAGCTAAACACACCCTACAGCTGACATGCACCCAGAGATGGATAGTTCAAATTCAGAAAGTAAAAATCCAGACCAAGATTTTGATTCAGCCAACCAGGTGAGTACTGTGATTGTGACTCTTTATACTCAACTGGTTGGTTGAAAGAAAATTTTGGTCTGGATCTTTACTTTCTGGACCTGAACTATCCACCTCTGCTTGCACCTATAGGACTGGATCCTGTCCCAGGCTCTGATATCCACTCTCATTTCACTTGCCCACTCTCCCTTTTGCTAGTCCCCAAAGAGCTGTCCTTTGCTGTCACGTATCCAGAGAAAATCCCTGTTCCCAGTGTCAAGTTCTGTTCAGCTTTTCACCTGGAGCAAGTCTTGCAGGGCTAGAGTCTACAACCAAGATCATTCCAGATTCTCCTTTGTTCCAGTCACAGCATCATAAGCAGTGAGTCTAGCAGAATAATGAGTCACACCCTTGACTCCCATCATCCCACAGATGGGCGGCTTCACTAACCAAACAGGAAGTGAAGGCCGATTGGGAGGCCGGGCATATGTCTGCTCAGAGGGCGTCTTTCTGCGGCGATGCCTCCTGTCTTGCCGCCTGTCCATTTACTGGAAACCATCATTAGCATCCCGTTCCATGTCTCGCTGAAAAAAAAAAAAACAGCAGCAGAGATAGGAGAGGCAAAACATCTAAGTCTGACATGTTTGTTAGGCTAGGCGATGCTGATCCAGCTGGATGCTAATTGGCTCCTGGGGGATCTGATTATTCAAATTTCTGTTCGTAGAATTACGTCTGATCCACGGGGTAAAAATCTATATGTGATTGACTGCTCTTTTATGGCACTTACCGAAAGAAGGACCTGCGCTTTTTAAAGAGCACTTAGCAGCTACCGTTTGAACGCTCTATTTTCGCAAAGCGCTGCCTTGCCCTTGGCGATTCTGGGTCATTGGGTCGCCGTGCACCTCAATGGCGCCTCTGCAGATCACAGTCATGACCAGAACTGAGTGTAGGGAGCAGACAGGGATCCCCAAATAGATGGAACAAGCTCACAGGAAGAGAGAAAGCCAGTACTACACTCGATAAAGCTGGGGGTGCAGTGTTTTCTTTGGGCATACAAAGCAGAGATGTCGTTTTAATGATGTATTTTAAGGAACTGTAATGGAGGAGGTATGCAGTCTTTTAGCTGCGAAGGTTTGATATATAAAGTGTAAATCAGGTCAGCTCTATTTCCCACATCCATAAAACAGTTTCTGCATGGGGTCAAGTTGTATTTAGAAAGCAAAACTGTATAGTAGCCGTTTCTCTGGTCTTTGTAAAGAGTGTGGTGAGTTGGAGTATTTTTAGGATGGTTTCCTATCAGAGTACCTGTGCGGGAGCATATTCTAATCACAGAAAGGTATTTAAATCCTTTCTAGTCATTTTTGGCTCTGTATTGTGGTACAAAAACACTAAAATATGTATTATGAAATAACACCTATGCAAATACCATTATTAATAACTCATGAATATTCTGTTTTGTATTTTCGATGAAAAAAGCACTTAAGTCCCAGTGACCATATTTAATACACTAAAAATGTTTAATTGGGTTCCCAGTTTGGCCTCATTCCTTGCTGGATTAAAGTATAACAAATTAACTGTAATATGCATAATGCTCATATACATGATTTTTTTTGTTTAATGCCACAGGGTTTTATACCTGTTTGAAGAATATTTAGGTACAGCACGTGTTCTGCAGGAAGTGGAATGCATATCTATATTTTAATGAAAAAATTAAATACTACTGCATATTGTACATTTAGAATAAAACAAATAAACAAATTAAATGCATAAGCTCCAATTGATGAGGGTTAAAGGGGCCAAAATGTAAAATCTAAAATAAATGATTACAAAATTATCAACATGGTGTACTATCCATCCATCCATCCATCCATTATCTACACCGCTTTATCCATCTGGGTCACAGGGAAGCTGGAGCCAATCCCAGCATCATCGGGCGAGAGGCAGGGTACACCCTGGGCAGGCCGCCAGTCCACCTCAGGGCCAACACAGACAAACAGCCACACACACTCGCAGTCACACCTATGGGCAATTTAGAGTAGCCAGTCGACCTAATCTGCATGTCTTTGGACTGTGGGAGGAAAGCCACGCATGGACAGGGAGAACATGCAAACTCCACACAGAAAGGCCGGGTGACCCAGGGGTCGAACCCAGGACCTTTTTGCTGGGAGGTGACAGTGCTCACCACTGCACCACCGTGCCACCCCCATGGTGTACTATTTAAAATAAATTATTCCTTTAATAAAATATGGCAACACTGGAACCTTAATAATAAAATAATATGTATAAAAACCCAGAAATTAAAATAAATATTGTTGCTTTTGCTTAAAGTAAGAAAATGTGATGCACACAGAAACTAAACAAGATGCAATTCTACCAATCTAGACTTCTTTAGGTGATATTTCTGATATATGTAGGTCATATGTCACACACAGCTAACATTTACCCACAGGAAGTCTGAGCAATAACTGCTCGCTGCAGCTTGTCATATAGAACTAATTAGGTCGTTAATCCATTTGATGTGAAACAGTGTCAATCTCATAGCATCTCCCAGGGTGATTTTACTAAACATATCTCTGCACGCCACTGTCTACCAGCCCTCATGGGTCAGGTACCATTCAGATTAAAATTACATGCCCGGTAGTTGGCTACACCTTTCATTTAAAGGGCTCTCCTGAGATGTACAGAGAGTGTCTGTCACAAAAGTAGAAGCAGGAGCTGGGTTACCTGTAGGTTTAGGAACATGCTTTGGTATCCATGCTCATATTCCATTCAGGGTGTACCCTGGCTTGGGGTAGGCTACAGCCCCCCCCCACCAGTTTGAGAAGTTAGAGGATGGATGGATGGATGGATGGATGGATGGGTGTACTGCCTCTAACCAGTATCAATATTGTCAGTTTCATTATGTTGTTACAGGAGTACCTGCACAAAGATGTTGTTACGGTATCATATCAGACATGTACGGGAATGTGAGGTTAAATGTCTATCATTTTTTAAGAAAACAAAACACAAGACACAAGTGAGTGAAGGTAGGGCTGGACTTTGACAAAGCTTGTCTCTAACTTGTGCATTTTATACTGACAAAAATCTGGTGTTTCCTGCAGGCAGAAAATTTGCTGGGTTTTTTTTTGTTGGCATCCATCTATAGTTGCTGACCAGCTATTTGTAACCAGAGATGCTAATTTTATATAACCGGAGTTTCACATTATAATTCCCAGCCCTAAACCACTATGCCACCTGCTGGCCATTGGTAGTATCTTTTATCATTCTGGGCATACGTAATGACTTAAGTTGAAAGTATAGCGGGCAGCAGTGTTTTGCACCATTCTTGAAATGCATATGCCTATAACCTATACAAAACTTAAGATGTTAATGGAACAAGCAGAGAGAATTAACCAGAGTCAGTCATTTAATTGTGGGAAGAAACTAGAGAACAGAAAGCTGGGCCGTACAAAGGTGGGGTGACCTGGCACATTTTGCCATGAGGCTCCCATATTGTCGATGATACATCCATGCACCTAAACACCTCACTGCACCGAGTGGCAGAGTCACTGCTGCTGTTCTCCTCTGTTACAGGATCTCCTACTGCACTGCAGATAAATCTCAGGACAAAGTGTTCGCCTACGTTTCCCAGAGTCAGTTCAGTGAGACCCTGGAGTGCCACGCCTACCTATGCCCCAAGAAGAAGATCGTAAGTTGTGTTTTTGACGTGTTTCACTCGTTCACTCTTTGTCTTGAATTTCTCAGCTGTACCCACAATACTGCTTTTTAATGAGTTCATGTATGTCAACAACAGCTACTATGTTACTAGTTTAAAAAGCCAGATAAAGATGTTTGGTGTATGGAAAAGAAATATTCCTATGTCCCCTTGGTATGGTGTTTTGTCACCATCTAGTGGTTGAGTGAATCATTCACAGGCATGACTTTCCGCCTAGGGAGAGCGTTACTTATTTGTACTCCTGTAAATGAAATGAAAGAAATGACCTGTAACATCTTTACACTTCTATTTTTCTTTTTTGACATTGTTTTTCACATGGTTGGTGATAATCATTAGCGTCTCTCCCACTTCCTCACTCCTTTCTGTCTCTGAGGTCTGCCATGTCCTACAGTCATGGAAGTTCTTGCATTTGTCCACCCTCAGGCTCAAGCCGTCACACTCACAGTGGCACAGGCCTTCAAGGTGGCGCTGGACCTTTGGGAGGTCGCACAGGAAGGTAGACTCTCAGCTAATGTCCTGAGAGTATGTGCTAAAGAAGTGTGTGTGCTAACGGCTAACACAGAGCATGTGCGGTCAACTCGAGAGTGCGTGCTAATGGCTAACACAGAGCATGTGTTATCGTCCTGAGAATGCGTCCTAATAGCTAAAGGAGAGTTTGTGCTATCATCTCCAGAGTGTGTGCTAATGGCTGACGGATAGCGTGTGCTATTATCCAGAGAGTGCTTACTAATGGCTAACACAGAGCACGTGCTATCATCTCAAGAGTGTGTGCTAATGGCTAACAGAGAGCATGTGCTATCGTCTCGAGCGTGCATGCTAATGGCTAACGAAGAGCATGTGCTAGCAGCCTGACAGCGAGTGCAAATAGCCCAATAGTGTTTTAATGGCCCGAAAGTGCGAGCTATCGGCTAATATGAAGCACTTGCTCATGGCACGAGAGTACAGCTAATGGCTAATGGAGAGGAGCAGAAGCTGAGATTCCACACAGCTCCTGTGCAGTGCAGAATATCACCCTCCTCCCTCCCCAAATCCTATACAGATCTGTGTGCTTTAGTTTTGGAGCTTACAAAGGTGTATACAGCACAGTGTATACATTTATTATGAATGTATTCTGATTGATTTATAAATAGAAATCTCTTTATGTTTATGTCTTAAGATGGTACACAGAGTGTAAAGACAAAAACATAGTTTATATTTCAAATACTGACAATAAAAGAAATAATAAGACATAGTTCTTGTTTCAGACAAAATCAAGAAGGGCCATTCCTGCTGCTCATGTTCAGTAAAGACCTCGCACTCCGACCCAGGTATAGTGAATATTCATCTCTGTCCAGCTGTGTGTCAAACATCCATTTGCACCACTTTCTAAATAAATCTGATACACTTGGGTCAGCCAATCCCTGGAGCGTTTGGGGTTAAGACCCTTGATCAAATGGCCCAGTGGCACAGAGTCCTAACTCACCTGGCCCATACATACTTAATAACATCTGACGGCATCTATTGGGTGGTGTGGTGGCTTCATATCTCTGGGTATGGGGTTGAGTTCTTGTCTCTGGTTCTGTAGGTGGAGTTTGCTGGTTCTCTCTCTTTGTGCAGGTGCTCTGGTTTCCTCCTGCAGTCCCAAAATGTGCAGTTTAGGGAACTTCTAAATTACCCTTAGTCAGAGGTGGAAATTTCAGGTTCAGAAAGTACAAATCCAGACCATGATTTAGTTTCAACCAACCAATTGGGCATAAAGAGTCACATTCACAGAATACTCTGGGTTTCAATGAAATCTTGGTCTGGATTTGTACTTTCTGAAGCTAAACTTTCCATCTCTGCCTATAGGGGCTGGGATAGACCTTAGCTTCATTGTGAAGCTTTGCTGGATAAGCGGTGTTACACGGTGACATTGGGGGATGCACACATTTATGCTTACATAGATTTCACTGAGCTGCGTTGTGTGGGATTTGGGGACTATTAACAGCCGACTTCATGCTGTTTGAACACAACCCTCTGTTTCTTCTCCTTCCCCTGTGGTTCAGATTTGGAGAAACACAAAGCTCTGAGCAAGGAGGAAGCCCAGAGGCGGCCATTTTCCTCCTTCCATTCACCTTCACGACACAGCAACCCCTTAAAGAGACGGCCGATCAAGCACAACTCCTGGGTAGGGGGTTCGGTCCCTGCCACAGAAAAGCAGGAATCAATCAAATTTGTGCTCTTCCAGCTATGCGAATGACATTAGTGTCTGCGTGTGTTTAATTTGGGGCTTTCTCACCAGTGTGCTAAATGACTACATTTAACAACAGGTTACTGGCCAATAACATTTGTTTGTCCTTCAGCTGTTTGACATTTCCTGAGTTTCCATGCTGCTTTTTGGTGTTTTTCCTGAGCCCTGTTGTGTTTTCGATTTTAGTTTAGTGCACAGACATTTTAAAATGATTTGTCTGCCTGCCGTTTCAGGCCGGGCACTGAAGTAGCAGAAGTTCACCACATGGTGGCAGTGTTTTCCCACATAACTGAGCCATTGACGATCCAATCCAGATTCTCCAACACTGAGAGTAATTGATCAGTCCAGGGTGCATGAGATCATGCATCATTCTGCAATGTGTGCAGGGTTTGGTGGCCACATTTATAAACAGAAACATCTGCCGCTTCTCATTTCTGTCAGCCCATAAATGTTTATAACTTTTAATTAAAGAATATAATTGCTGGTACCACTTAATCATCCTGCGACACATGTAGCTGCACATTTTCCACAATTGTGTGTTCAGCAGGTGGCCCAGAGGCAAGATTCAATAATGGAATATTTAAAAATGAAAATATGTGGAGAATAAAATGATTAGTATTGAGTTTAGATGCATTTCTATATAACACAGCAGGGCTAGATTTTATTTGAATTACTTGGTTTAGATTATTTAACACCTGTATGAAAATATATGAAAGATATTTTAATGGTTATTCTTCAGAGGCATTTGTGATGGTATATTTATGGTTTTGTTTTACTTTTAGGATGCGGAGGATGGATTTGATGACGCGTTTTCAAGGTGAGTGCAGATTGTAGGTTTGCACACCTTGTGGATAAGCTCACCTGTTCCCTTCAAAGCTGAAATGATTTCACTCATGTGCTAAATGTAGCAAGGAGTCTTGCATGCCTAAAGTGTACAATTCTGTCCATCTGAAGTGAAAACTTTTAAAATCAGTTCATGAAAATACATATAGTAGTTTTCATTTTATCAGTTAAGTGTAGTGTAATTATGAATGAATGTCTGCATTTGTATCCGTAAAACTTTTGGCAGTGACAATAGCGAACAGTCATCTGACATGGAGATGGGAAGAATAAAACAGGGGTTCGATTAGGGGAAGGAAGCTGAGAAGGGTCTAAGAAAATGGTGGGGAGGAGGGACAACAATGGCAGCCATTTTGGGGTCAGCAAAGAGGGTTAGAGGTGCCTGAAAAGCGTAATGGCATCAGGTCACAGTGAAGGGCTCCAGCTGAAGGGATGAGGCAACGTTGGGGAGGATTACTCTATTTTCTTTATTATTATTATTATTATTACTCTTTTATTACTAAACTTTACTTACTAACTAATACTACTAATTACTACTAAAAATCAGTGGTATATAAGGCTTGAGAACAAGTAACTGGGTGCGTCTGTCATGTGACTTCTCTGAACCATATACCCTCCATGTGCATGGTGGACTACATCATGTGAGGTCTATTGGCTTCCATTCATTGAGTCATTAATGTGTGTCGCGTATGTCACGATTTGGTGTGTGTGAGTTTAAATAGCTGTTACAGGCCTGTCAGACTGAATGCATAGCAAGCAGTTCACGTTAATTAGCTTTCTAGAGCCTACAGTGTCCCGGCAATAACGAATTAACAACCTTTTGGTCTTCAGAGAGCTCCTGAAGAAAATTCTCCTGAGTGTTGAGAACTGCTCCGTTCGCTTCACTCCCAGTCGACTCAGAATTGCATCTGCAGAAATTCGTACTGTGGGAATGTGGCCTTCAGCTGTGTTTGGGGGCCAGAGTCAGGACCAACCTGTCCCCTATAGTCCAGTTTGTTTCAGGAGGGGACTACAGGACATGTGACAATGGGACTATTTGGGCTACAAAACCCACAGCGCCAGGGATTATTTTACGATGCCAATAATAATTTTTACTCCAGTTCCTATTTCTTACCCTGCTGTTTCCCATTGGGTCGAACAAGGCAGTTATTGACAGCACACAGTTTTTCCCAACTACTACAGAGGACATCACTTCCTTATCGTTTATGACATGGCTGCTTATCCTTGTAGTCTATGGGAATGCAACACCCTGTGTGACCTTGTGACATTTTGCCCGGAGCATCCAATACCTGGATTTTTTAAATTCTTCACTCAAATATTACAGCAGGACTCACTAAGCTATCCTACCTCCATGTAATGGCACATACAAGAGATGGGCTAAAATATATCTTGCAATTTGATTCAGTATGGTAGTTCTGGGGGATTTATCTGAAAAGTCATGATGTTCTCGTTACAGCTGTATGACCTCATATGTCAGAGATATCCTTCCAAAGCTCATTGGATCATGAAAAGCATAAAAAAAAAATAGTAGTATGCATTCTTTTGCTGACTTTTTGAGAAATTATATGGCAAAGGAGTCACTCAGATCTCACTTTCAAGTCTGTGTTGGTTAATAGTGTTTATTACGGATGGTCCATTTTCATAGCTATTCAATAAGTACACAGTCTCGTGAACCAGAACGTTTTCCCAGGACGTGCAGGGACAAGGCAGGGGGCCACACAAGACGGCTATATTACAGTCAACGGGAAACGTAGACCTCAGGAAGAAGTCAGCAAAACACAGCTACCTGTATCAGTATCATTTTAATCTCTTAGAGCCAAGACCAAAGATTCAGTTTTCCATTAAAAAATCTGCATTATGCATTTCCAAATGCATTTTTTTACACTTTCACCAAATGAGGGGTTATCACTTTGCCATTTTGAGATAGATGTATCCACCCTGTTTAATTTATATTCAGAAACGTTGGACATTTCGGACTTGTTCTGAGAAATAATAGGGGCATTTTTAATGCATTTTTGACCGTTTGGGATCAAACTTATTGCATCATACTACTCATAGATCAATGGGTATTCTCGTTTTTTTAGTAGTAAGGTCATATTTCAGTGAAAGATGATTTTGAAATCAAGGTGTTCACTGTTAAAAAATAGTAAGGGTTCCCATGCTGTGATTTCAGGCTTTTTTGTGGGATGTATCAGCTAGATCATGGCATGTTAACATGGGAATGTCTGTATTACATGCAGTAATTTATTCTTCTTCATGGGGTGCTTCCGGGAATGCTGATCTGTGCTCTTTGAGGATGGATCGCATCCTGTTTTTCATTATACCATTTAATTAGCTAATGTGTAATTCTGTCCTCAGCTGCACCATTATTTAACAGTTATTTGGCAACAGAGATGTATTTGAGTCCAGGGGTGGGCTTTCAGTATTTATGTCCCGAATATTTTTCTGAATTGCCAGTTTTTTTTTTTTTTATCATCATTTATTCACAGATTTCTTATGGGCCCAGAACTGCCCCCTCTAAGAGTCTAACAAACATTAAACTACATTGATTAGAAATTAAATGTGCACATAATAGTATGTAAAGTCCAGAATGCAGAACTTTCGATCTTATTAGTTGACATGAATTACAGTGGGCAACGCTGTACTTTTCTCTCTGAAATTAATCAAAAAGAATACAGCTGGGTGCATTGATTATTGCATGCAGTATACTTTGCTGAGTTAACTGCCCTTTACTGCAGAAAGCTATGCCAACGCACTTGTGACAATGCTCTCAGCGTGGCATCAGTGAAAACCCTTTGTGGTCTGAAAACATAAATGAATGAAAAAAACTATGATCGGTATAAGCCATTCGGTAAATATAGCTGTATAAGTTTGTTTTGCCAGCACTTTTGTAAAAATCGATTAAATTCACAAAGAGATCCGGCTGCTGCTGGAAGTCAAAGCGCCCTGTGGTTTTTCACCCCTTCTGTGTGCAGTAATAAACCAAGCAGGTTTGTTTAATTTATTTATTTATCTGTCAGTCTGACATGCTGACGCTGTGTCTGGAGTGAAGGATGTGGTGGATTTGTATTGCACCGGTGGTGTGAAATAAAACGACGCTCCATTGGAACTAATCTCTGAAAACACTGTTTAAGCAGTGGGCTTATTACTGAGATCTGCTTTAATCGCAGTCAGTGTATTCAATACCGCATTTTACCATATGCCTGTAGTGTTTAATTCAACTATAAGTAGATGCTATTGGAATGACAATAATGTATACAAACGGCCCCATCACCCATTCCCCCCATCCCTACTTCTCCCTTACCCCCAACCTCTCAAAAAATATTTATTAAAAGCCTACATTGGTGTGACTTGTCTCAGTGTTATCAGGTTCACCAGATCTGCATCTGACTGTATGTCTTTTTTGATTTACCACCTTAGTAAGTTCAAGTGTCTTCTGCAGTCAGCCCTCCCTTTGCTGCTACTAAGTGGCGTTGCATTGCTTTTTGGCATCATTTGTCTCAAATGAAATTAGACTTTACACACTTTCTTCTGTACAATGTTTCTTTGAATTTTGAAATTGATCCAGCTAATACTTTTTGGGTTATCAAGCTACCAGCATCAAGCCTCTGTAGCTGCCCTCTGCTACCACTATTTGGCACTGGTTTAATTTTGGGGCAGTGATTCTCATAATTTGACCAGTTTCAAATCTTCACCCATACAATGTGCCTGTAAAGTTTTTTTTTTTTTTTAATCCGTTAAATACTTTTCAGTTATCATGCTAAAAAGATGTTTGTGGCAGACCGGTCCGAAAACCTTATCCATTCCTCATCTAGGGAATACAAAAAGTGCTATTGCCTCAAATGTTAGACTTTTTGTCTGCAGTGTATTAATCTGGTGCCTGGTATATCTTGTGTACTCTGTTATCAGATCAGCAAGCCACTATCCTGGGTGATTTCTGTTTTTCTAATTAACTTTATATATAAACTTCTGGTAAATTCATATACATTAATGTTCTAAGAGTTGTGCAAAGACAAACCGTTAGATGTTTTTGACTCTTGAAGATCCGTACAGTATTTCCTATGAAATCCAAAGATTCAGATAAATATACTTTCTATTACAAATAGGGTGATGGACTACACCTTTTAATCTACTTGGATCCTTATATGAACTTGTACTGTAGGTTCTGAGACAGAATGAGGCCAAGTTTTCAGACCCTCTGGGTAGTTTATCCGGAATAAAATCCTGTTTCACTGCTTCAGAAAGTGGATGCTTAATGTAGTTTAGTTACAGACAGACGGACAGACAGAGGTAGGTGATTGTGTTTTGGGTGAATAAGATGAATTAACAATATTTTGTTCTTTATTACAATGGACCAAACATGTTTTTTGCACAGAAAACCACAGTTCATTTTGATGGAAATAGCATGCCTTGACAAATGATAAATCCTTTGAAATGGCCTGAGAACAGATTGTCCTTTTTGCTTTTTCTTTGCCAAAATATTGTATCTTGCCTGAGACTTGAATGTATAATGAATCACATTTTACATTAATCTCTCTTTTGGATCAATGAAAATTCTTTATGGATTCTAAGCTAATATTATTTCTCAAAAATGGACAATGTCCAGTGTGAGAAGCTGGTTGCTCTGCTCCTTTGATGAAATCTTCTTCTTCTTCATGACATGCAGCAATATGGACGTGGAAGACACAGACACAAGTAAGTGGGATCACCAAAGAAATGCGTGATAGTTTTTTCTTTCAAAAACTATTTTCCGTCTCTTGCATCTGCAATCATAATATTCTGTAGACCAGTTTTTTGTAGGGAGACAAACTTCAGCTTTGACTTTGAGGAGGCCACAGGAGTCTTGTAATAAATGTGGCAGTATTATCCCTGTTTGTTATACTCATCTATTATTTAGGCTTAAACAGCTCAGGCCAATTGTGCATGGATTTCTTCTGTAACAAGTTACATCTTTCCTTTTTATTCCCATGAAATGAAGTGGATTGCAATACATCTTGGTTCCAGACTCCATAAGCATGACGCACATTTGTAGAATGACCGTGGAAACTGCGTGTTTAATGATGATTATTGCTTTGAGACTGGATCTTAATTTAGTACCACTTCAGAATGTAGATATTTAGCATAATGTGACATTGAGACTAAAACTTTGTTGCTTTCTCCTTGTCCCCAGTCTAGCAATCAGATTTTTCACATCGGCCATGTTTGTGTTGGTCAGGTTGGCAGAGTCCAGATGCAGGTAACTGTCTGAAGATGCAGCTGTGAGGTCAGGCAGGGGTGACCTTCAGGATCTAATGATTAATCACTGAGGACACGTGGGATAATAAAACACACAAACCTTCTACACATAGCTTTTTCAGACTGATAGCTATATATTGTTCTTTTCCCAATATTGAATAATGAAGAAGTTTTTTTTTCTGCTGGCAACCTTTCATAGAATAAACAATAATTTTTTCTGTACTTTTTTTGTACACAGATTAAAGATGGACGCTTGTTGATATATATTTAACTAGAATTAATTGTGAACAAGAGCAGTGTTCAGATGATGTTTTTTGGCTTATTTTGTTCCTTCATTTTTGTTTAATATGTGACCAAAGCTATGTTGTTATTTGCTGTCTCGTAAGTCATATTCATGAGCTGGGGCAAACTTTTACACCAGCCACCACCGCCCCCCCCCCCCCCCAGGCTTTAAGTGGCTTGGGGGGCCTTCTAGCCATGTTAGCCTAGGGTCCCAAGAGAAGTTAATCCCCCCCTGATAGTGTGCTTTATGTCTTGCTGATTTTAAATCACTCATTTGCATTCCTATAAGAACTGCTCATTTTGTAATCCAGGTCTCAGTTCCCAGGTATAGTGTACTTTTTGTTTTGATTTTTTTTGTGCAATGTAGCCATTACAGGGCTGCCTTGGCAATGAAACATGCTCCATTCGTATAAGATCGATTCCCGTAGCACAGATGAAATGTGAGCAGTCATTTCTGTGCAGTGAACTCAGGTATGACTATGACAAAAAATAGGTTTATTTGATCAATTTTAAGGAAATGACTGTCACCAAATGTGGGCATTTTTAAGGAACTAAGGTTTACTTTATATGGTCTGCACAAGTTAGTTTATTCATTTACTGCTGTTTCTTAAACATTTGATATAAATGCATCTATTTGAATGCATTGAGACTTTTTCATGATAATGTCACTAAGATGACAATGGTCAGTGCAAATAATTTGGACACTTTTAGTTAGCATGGCAGCTAAATCGGAGTGGTTTAGTTTTCTTTAAGGGTTAAGTTAACTCCGAGTTAAGAGCTAAGTGGGAAGATTAATGTTTGTTTCCACAAACTCGATGACAGTTATAGCATTAGTTAAATTCTGGTTACATTTTTCTTCATTTGAGAATAAAAAGGAAAAGTCAAAATGTTCATGTATTTTCAGCCAAATGAGCCACATATTGCAAATCATTAAAACTATATTTGCAATTAAAAGGCAGAAAGGATGGGCAAGGGTGATTAAGATTGCTTTCTTCAGAGATAAATCTAAAGTAATGTCATTTACAAACAACTGTTCTTGACAGCTAGACGTAAATTACAGTTAATCTTATAACTGACATGAATGCAGCCCGTTTAATAATAAGATGCCACATTTTCAGAAGATTAAATGTTAAGCTTTTGACTGTAGGACAAAATCTATTTTTAATCAATGTTATAATGCATATGTACTTTATCAGCAACATATAAAACTGAAAGTCACTATCACTTTATCTCCCAAAGGACTGTTTGGGCTTTATAGCCCAGATTTTGACTACTGCAAATCCTAAAGTTAGAATGTTTCTTTCTAGGTTTTGCGCAGTGATGTACATACATAATTCTTTATGTGTCATCATTGGTAGAGTTTCCCAAATTAACTCAGCATTTGAATGAAAAAGGTACTTTTCTAAGACCACTATCACTCATGGAGTCTTTGAATTCAAAAATATTCCCTTGTGTGTTTCAGCTGTTTGTGGCATTATTTTATGAAAACTGAGTGCAAGAAATCAGGAACAAACAGCGATTAATCAATACAGTTATTTAAGGTTAATTAAGACTACCTAGGCAGTACACAGATCGTTTAATATTTTGCGTTCTGCCATTTGTGAATTTCACTGTAACACTGAAAAAATGGGAAATTTCCCAGAGATCGCCAAAGTCCTTCAAGCCACAAGGGGGCGTGCTTATGAAGATGCAACTTTATTTCTCGTCTATATAACAATTAGGGCCTAGTGTGTACGAAACTCTTGCAGGCCAAAGTTATTTTGCTATCTTTTTCAATGATCAATGTTTTTTTCTTTAATTTGCTTGAAAGGAAAATGAAGACCAGCCTCAGTCTCTTCCATATATCAGCATTTAACTTAATTTAAAGTAAGTAACAGGTTTTATGTCTCCTGACTCTTGAAAATCAGCTCCAGGGATATTAAAGTTTGTGTTTTAGCTGACGGGGGCACCTGGTGGTTTGAATCAATCCTGCCTGCCTTTGTGGTGTCATTGCTTTAGGATGAATTGATGGTCTTGTTTGGAAGTAGCTTGTGGGGGAGGAGGAGGGGAGATGGAGTTATTGCAATATCCAGCACTGGAAAATGTCAGTGCTCTGGATTTCTAGGCACACTTCCCTGCGAGAAATGCTGTCCTGGACGCTCCTTTTTAAATGCCCAGCCTGTCTGAGAGCCCTCAGTGGTGAATGTCAAACCTTTATGTATAATTAGGGGTGTCCATTGTTACCTGGTAACAGAAAATGCAGGGGATTCACAACACACAGAGCTAGACCTGTATCGTTTACTCTTACTATGCCATGAGTGCCCAGGAAGAGGTCCTGACCCCAGGTGCGGTAAACAACACCTTCTCAGCAATAATCACGTTGTTTCCATAATGTTCCGTCATCTTACTACATGGCTTCCATGGAAATTCTGTAGCTTGAATAATGAGACTGGGTAGGCCCATCCGTGCTCCTGGAACGGTTTCAAGCTGACCGCGTTTCGGATTGCAGAATGACCACAGTGAAGAACCATCTGTCCATATCACCTTGAAGAAGCTAAATTTAAACTAAGCTATTCTGATTTAATGTAGAAGTCATGGATGATGTCATTTAGCCTCACAATATTTCTTCAGTGGCGAATGGTTTTATTGTATATATTGTGTTTTCCAAGCATATGATTTTTTTTTTTTTTTTGTGAAAATGTTTGCTGTGCAATAGTTTCTTCTTATTAATCACTTTCTCTGTTGTGTTTATATATGTAGTTTGTAAATTTGAGATTTGCTTGTTATTCACACAGCTAGAAATTGTACAAGGTGCATTGTCTTGCTATATTTGGGCTTTCTTTTGAGAATCAAATATGTATTTTTAAAGATAAAATGAGATTTCATTAAAGAGGTTGAGCAGTTTGAAATGATTTGCATGGTTTTCCTGAGTTCTCTGAAGTATCCTGCAGAATAACATGGTTTAGTGCTGGGAGTCTGTTTAATTATTTTATCTTATGGTATAATTAAGATGTATAATTTTGACTGTGGAAGAATCTAGCATAATGAACCGGAGAAGCTCTATCTTGTAAAAAACACTGCCAAGGTACATATTAAAGTATATATTTTCAACTATTGTCATGTTATGTCGGGGTTATAATTGGGGTTTATTTTTAGGGTTCAATTAAATGGGGTTTATTTTTGAAAAATGAATGGTTAAAATGCATAAGTGATGTATGTGCAATAAAAATACAGGTTATTATTTGGTGGGGGTGGGGGTGGAGCCTAACCCAGCATAGGACACAAGCTTGCACTGATGTGAATAAGGGTGCAAATAAAAATAAAAGCCAGCACCTGGTTCTGTGTGTGGAATTTGCGTGTTTGTGTGTTTTCCCTGCAATACACTGGATCCAGTATGTTTCCCAGCCTGGCTTGTTCACAGTGACCCTGTACTTAATAACTGGCGTTGGTTGGCTGGTCGGATGGATGGATGGATGGATGGATGGGACCAAAACCTCATTGTTTTCCTTCCAATATTCTGATTTGTCTCCAACTAACAGGTGAATAATGTATGAAGTGTGACTCACACAATTAATGCATGGCTGTTACTCATGAAATTGGGCTTTCTGTCAAAAGAAATGCAATAGTCTGAGTATGTAAGCCAATGTTGTAATTCTGCTGTTGTATATACGTACATATATTTGTACTTTTTTCCCAAGCAGTGGCATTTTAAGTGCACTTCTAGATGCAGAAACAAATTTTTGTGCTTCAGACTTCTGTCTATATAGAAATGATTTTTATATGCTTATATAATGTGAACACAATAAGAAATACAATGATAGGTAGGACCATGATGAAGCATTGCTGATGTTTTTAGTGCAAAAATAACTTCCGTCAAAGTTAAATGGACCATGGATTGTGAACCTGTCCACACACAGACTATTGTGTCCTTGGAAAGTCTGTGTCCGTGGCAAAATGTTTTGATTGACAAAAAAAAACGATGTGGGTCAGGCTCTTAAATGCCATGTCCGTGGTAAAAATTGCATTTTGATCCAAATGTCCATCAGAATTTGTCATGGTGTTGACCCATGGACCGATACGCGTGAAACTTTAAACGATTCATGATTAAGGTCAGGTCCAAATTTAAGCAGAGGTCCTTTGTGTTGGATGGAAGCTTCTGTTGAAATGTTGGAAAGATGACATCACCTGCCTCCTACACATCACACTCGCTGAAGGGAACGAACGGCTCTGAGTAATCACTGCTGCATCACATGCCTGCTCTTAATGCCAGGGCGTGATTGACAATCTGCAATTGATGGCATAGGTGTAGGGGGGGGCTCTAGAGGGTGTGGTTCCTCCAGTATCGAGAACTGTAGCAGAGGGAGAGAACCTTGGTAGCTTTTTCACAGCTTTGCCTCACATCCAGGATGCAGCACGAGCGTCAGTCAGCCAGGGTGCCGTACTACATGTTATACGTGTTGAAAAGCCGTACCCAGCAGTGTGCTGTGGGACCAGTAAACAGTGTCCTCTTAAGAGGGCAACGCCAGGTGAGATGTGAAATATCTGCCCCTCTTTAATGTCTTGGGTGAGGCTGTTGATTCCTTTCGGGAACCTTGGCCTCAGAGCTCTTGAACTGCTGTACCTGATGATGCTGGAACTAAATAAACTGAGATATGTTGGGGAAAGCATTGAGGTTTTTGAGAAGGCACCAGCAGTCCTCTCCCCCCCTCCCCATTTCTCCTACATAAAGTTTTATTTCTTGATTCCCTTCCATTCTGTTAATTTTAGATGATAATGCGAAGTGACTCCCTTTTAAAATGTGAACTATAAAGCCTCTTGCCTTAAGAGAAACCTTTAATTCTCAACGGCCTTTGAATTTTTATTCTTTTAATGTCATAGCCTTCCTAAATTTAAGGTAACGTCAATATAATTTTATAACCTTATCAAAAATTGGTTGTATTATAGCAAAATTGTTCCGATGATTGCCGTCCTGTGAATACTATATTATTTTAGATAACTGTTTAGAACCAGCCAAATTTCGACCTGGGGACTGTAAACTGTGGTACCTTAAATCTGACAAGTTACCCTGATAAGCCAGTAACCCCACTTCATAGTACAGGCCACTGGTATTGTTGGGAATATAACATCGATATTGCATAATTGAAGGTTATTCTATGACTCAAAAGGAACAGGTTCCTGTTGATGTTTCATTTAGATGGTCCTTAAACCTACAACAATTGAAGGTTATTCTACGACTCAAAAGGAACAGACTCCTATTAACGTTTCATTTATATGGTCTTCAAACATCCCACGGTCTGCAGTTAATTTGTTCGCAATTAGCCCCAAGCAAAATGAATGTAATTACTGTTTGATTTTTTTAACAAGTACTTAATGAGGTGAGCTGGAGATGATAGCTGTGATTTTTGGCCTGTGTGCTTCGTAAGAATTCCGTGCAATTGTAGAGAACTTTCACCCGGTGAATCAGTTGAAGAAGAATGACATCAATGGACACAACATGAAAAACCCCTCAACGTCAGAGTTCATCCGGTGTGCATCTTCTGGTATTTCCTCAGAGGTAAGACAAGGACTGCATATTATTTGTGACATTTTTATTACAGTTATCAAACTGAAAATGTTTTCCTTGATCTGCTAAACACTTGAATCTCAAACAGCGAAACAAAAAGGGATCTGTTCTATTACTATATACACCTACTGTATACAACTACAGACAACTGGACTGAATCATTGCATTGTGAATCTCTGACATCAGACATGTCCTTCACATGGTATCAAGCTATTAATTATTATTTTTTATTACATTCAGAGTAGTCCGTTTCACAGTTATCATTCTGAATCGATTGCTGTAATTATTGCATGCTGTGTCTCCGTTATCCATATGGAGATGTTAGTTCTGATTAATAGCAAACGCACTGCCTCTTGGTGGATGTAAGCTTTATTCACGTAAAGTAACGCATTGCTCTTAATCAGAGAATTTACATCTGCTCAACATAAATCTAAAAGTCATACCTGACAATTAGCTATATTAGCAGAGATGAGCATGGTTGAAACAAAATGATCATCTCTGTGGTATCAATATATTTTTGTGGTCGACACATAAATACTTTTTAATTTGCATTTTTTAAGCATTTTTTGCATTCGTATTTCTGAAGTAGAACAGTATTAATCTACACAGTAAGTGCTTTACAGATTAATGACCAGCATGCAGCTACACAATGTGTGTCTACATATGTATATGTAATCATTTGAGTTTAGTTGAGTTATCTTAAATAAATGAAGTGTGTTTGTGGAGTTTATACAGGACTTCAAGGAACTGAGCCCTTCATGGATGCCCTTAGCATAGATGCCATTAGCTATTGCTAAATTACTTTCCTCTGTCTGCTTTTTTCTTTTTTGGCTGAATCAATCATATTTCATAGCTGGGGAAATTACAAAATCGTGTTTCCTAATTTGGGGGAGCGAAAATACATTCTGAGAGTAAGTTTGAAACATTGCAGCTATTCCCTGGTGGCAGATTCACCATATGAGAAATCCCGTTTTCACGGTGTGTGGGTTTGCCAATCTCCATCCTTGATCTCCATCATGAACTGACAATAAGACAATACATGGGGGCACTTCATCCCAAGAAGCTGGCTAGTTTTGGAATGGTGTCACTGTGTGCTCCAAGAGGCTGGCGGGAACCCAGCCCTGGAGAGGATTCATGCTCTGGGCAGTATGGGGGCCCCATTGCTGGGGGGTGGAGGGGAAGGAGGAAGGGGCAGCTGACCTCCGGGCAGATGCTCGACGCTTCAGACTTCGATGATGTTGATGGAGGGGACGGATGGGTGAAACTGCAAGGCAAGGTGAACATGATCAGAATTTATAAGAAAGAAACTGCACCATACATTGACTTTCTGCCCACTCAATCGGAAGGTGATGGTTAGCTAAATTAAATATTCATAGGAGGAAAATCAGGCTGGAGTGACGTTCAAGGGCACCCGAGTACTTGTCTTTGGTTTGGTGGCCACGGAGACCTTAGGGGCTGTGAACCTTTTATGTGTATTTTTTTAATACAGCGTTTTGGACATTTTAATTTGCAACCTACTATAAAGTGCTACAGTGACTCAACAGAAGCAGGAAAATAAGTAACATGCTCGCAGTTTGAGAAATACACTGACCCACAACATGGTGGTTCTGGAATCATTTCAGTTTGGAATGATTCCTTAGTGTTTTCAGATTGAAACACTTTACTACAATTAGGCATTCTGCTAATCAACTGCTAATGTGTTGAGTAACTACTGGGTTAAAAACCATAGTTTTGTATGTTACTGCACAACTCAGATTTCATGGTTTATTTGTGTTTATGCACTTGATAAACAAAATATACCAACGACCCAAAATGATATGGGCAGACGACTGGGTCAGAGTGTCTCTGAAATGGCGAGGCTGCTGGGGGGCTCACGGTCAGCCATGGTGAGTGCCTACTGAGAGAAATCCGAGGAGGGAAAGACCACAAGCTGCCAGGCAGGGTGTTTGCCAGTTGGAGTCCTAGATATGAAGGTAGGCTGTCCTGTTTGGTAGAGATCAACAGAAGGGCTACTGTGGCACAAATGGCAGATAATTTTGATGTCACTACACATGGCATCGAGGCCTGCTGCACGTGGGACTTGCACCAGTATTACTAGTTAACATTATTTGCTTCACGTCAGGGTGGTCATAATATTTTGGTTCATCGGTGCATACTTATTTTTACAGTTTAGATAATATGTAGGTCAGGGGATGATTTAATCGTAAAATATTTTAATTCTGTTGGCTTTATTTTCCTAAGAATAAATAGTTGTCCTTTTTACGATTGAATCCACAGACCTGTGTATTTAATGATCTATCTGATGTGTTTTAAATACAAGCTTAAGTTTCATACCGCAAAACGGTCAGCTGTTATTTGAAATCACCTTGATGTTCATCACTGTCTGTCTGTCTGTCTGTCTGTCTCTCTCTCTCTAATCTCATGAAATGGCACATTGCCCCATGGACCCAGCAAAGCTAAACAGGGCCTGATTTCTATTGCACTGGAGGGAGAGATGAGATTGAGGGGGAAGATGGGCTTTCGGGAGACACGCTGAAGACCTCTTCATGAATGCCAAGCAGGGCCTGGAATCGTTTGAGGCCCTCACTCCCGCATCCGTGGAGCTGCCTCAGAGTCCTGCACCGGGTCGAATAGTTGCTGAAACGGGCGGATTTTAATGTTCTGGAATTTTACGGGCGGGTAATTCATTACACATGGGCAGCAGATAGCAGGTCAATCAAAACAGTATTGTAGCCTGCAAAAATAACATATAAGCAAAAATATCTATGTATTAGACTATCATGTACAAATTGTCATCATCACAGTGCGTTCAGTATATTGGGGGTACCTTATGGTGCTTTCGATTATTTCAGTTACTCCAAGTCGGCACTCGGATGAAAACGTCACGAAAAACGTCACTTCCCGTCGGAAACACGCCTCTTTTATGACGTTGATGTCGGACAAGATTTTGTTGTCCGAGCTGCCCCATGACGTAATTTCAACATGGCGGCTTACACACTCAACAGTAATTCTATTTTATAAATCTTTAAAAATGTTTTGTTAAATATATTAATAGTTATAAATGTAACTGCACGTGTTCGATTTAGAGAATAAACATTCCGCCCGTTACCCGCCCATACCTGTCATAAATTACACACAATTATTTTTTCCGCCTCCACAAACATTCACATACACGTCTGAATCCTTGCTGAAGCGTGTCGTCGTGTTCTCTCTTTCACCCTCGTCACAGTATGAATAGCTTAGATCTATCTGATTTGATTTTGTGTTAGACGGACTTTTTCGTTTCAATTCAAAATGCATGTAGGCCTAGCGCTTGTCACGTTGAGAGGTGCATAGAAAAAATAATTGTGTGTAATTTATGACGGGTACGGGCGGGTAACGGGCGGATTAATGGGCCCGGGCGGGTGTGGATTTAACTTTGAAATAATCACGGGTGCACGGGCGGGTGCGGTGCTGTACTGTGCGGGTGCGGGCGGGTGCAGGTCTCCAAAAGTGGACCCGTGCAGGACTCTGAGCTGCCTTGATCTACTTCACAAGCCAAACGACAGCATTCATCAGGTACTTCTGTAACATCCACAAGACTGTTTAAGCGAGAGGCTGAGGAACTCAGTGATACTAAAAGCTTTTTTATTACGCTTTTCAAGTATGAGAATGGGCTGGTTTTTTCGTAGTAAGAAAAAAATACCCTGTTCATTATTAGTACAACATCAAGTTAATTTAAATAATTTAAAGCTAATGTGTGTATGGAAAGAGGCCACAGCAATTCTGTGGTGCTCATGGGGACAGTCAGGTGTTAGTAATTGCTGGGGTTAATTCAATCTGCACGACCCCTGTTCCCTGGCTGTTCCCTGGCTGTATACGCTCCACCAAATCATCCGCTCCTGCAGGAACACCCTGCACGCTTGTTTTCTGTCTCTCCAAACCTAACAGAACTCGATTATTTTGGTCGTGTGCACAACCCCCCCCCCCGTCCCCATTTTTCATGCGAGGTGAAAATAGATTCAATATTTTTAACTTGTCTGTTAGGCTGTTTGACCTGTCTGACATAAACAAGGACAAATTGAGTAAGTTCATTGTGTAAGCCAAGCATGTTATTACAGTGAAAAATCTTGCCAACGAGAAAACTGTCTAAAATAACCGAAGTAGTATAAACCAAAACAAAGGCAGAGCCTTAATTTTGCTTTTAGTTTTACGGCAAATCTTAACCATTCTACCATGACCTGTAGCATGCCTGCTTTTGTGATTTAAGTTTTAATGATGTCAGTGCCTTTAATTAGATAGCCTTTGATATGCCCGTTTAATGTCTGCTGTTAGCTGCAGGCTTGTTATCGGCCTCACTTGAAATGCAGCCCGTTCTGCAGTCTGATAGTCATCTTCTTCATATGTTAAGGCACAAAGCAAGAGGTACAGATATCTACTGGAGGTTTAAACCTTCTGGTATATGCATAATATAATTCAATTCAAACAGTGCAGCTAAAAATTTACATTTTGAATGGATATGTTTTAGTGAGGGGGAGCATATTTGAGTGCTTGTGAATGAAACTTTTTTTCCATAGCCATTGGTGATTTGAGGATTGGGGGGGCGGGGGCTGTTCCTTTGATCCCCCAGACCAACTCATGTATCATTACAAGCATCCTTTTTTTTTTTTTTTAATGAATCACCCTCTGGCAGGAAGATATGAGCAACTGACATACCGAGCCGGTTTATCTGTAGGGTCCAGGCTGCTTGTTTGCACAGCAAGCACAAGCGCAATGGCGATCCTGCCTCTGCCGGTGCCCACCTTGCTCCTGAGCAAGCCCCCACTGTGGTGCTCTGGCGTGCTCCGCTCCGAGCACGGCTTCACCTTCTCCTTGCTGTTGCTGGAGTCGTTGTCCTTGATAATGTCATACTGCCGGCAGAACAGGGCGATCACAGCTGAAACAGAGCCACGAAGTCCACAGTGGTCTCAGAGGCTCGGTGGTGCCATTTAGTGCATATGTGCGTGTGTTTGTTTGTGCGTGTGTCTGAAAATGGTGCATGCACTTTGCAGTACAGTGATGTCATCATTTTTGCTCTGCCAATGCTGAAGTGAGTCTGTCCCTTTCGCTGTCACAACGCCAGCCTGTCCAGAAATAAGCATACACCCATTTCTGCACTTGATGCAGAAACCGATGACCAACCGATCACCAAGGTACAGCCAATCTGATTTAGCGCATACATTTCAGTAAAAATGCCACAGAAAGTCCGGGCGTCCAGTTACACTATCGCACAATTCATTTATTCACTAGCTTTATCTCAATGCAGGGGTTTTCGAGAGTGAGACTGAAATAAAATTGCCTGTCCTCTCGGGAGTTTCCCGCGGTAATCAAGGCTGACAGAGGCCAGAGCTTTCATTCTGCTGTCTGCCTTAGTGAAAGGAAAGTGACGGCTTGAGTTTTCCCTCCAACGACAAGCGTTTGGTATGAACAGCCAATAGGGCTTCAAATGCCTTGATGAATTCCGTGCATCATATTTAGCTACTAACACAAGGATCTACGGCTCTAAGCAAGATTATAAAGTGATTTTATAAAATGAGAGGGGTGTTGTCTTCTCATAAGGGCAGAAAGCTGTGCGACTTATCGTTTAATTTATTCATTTTTATGAATTTGTTATTGAATTATAATTAATCTGCAAAGATTACTTATTAATTCCATGTCTTATTTTTCAGCCATATTTTCTGTACTTCAGCAGGGAATAATTGTAACCCTAAGTAGTAATACGATAAGGAGGGAAAAGATTAATTGACCTTTACTTGCTTACTTTGCCAAGCATGCCGATTTATCTCTCAGCCTAAAATACTATCTTGAAACTCAGCACAATGTTACATGTCTTACTTATTGGATGTAATTTAATTGGCCTACTGAAACGTTAACCAAATAGCAAGTTACTTCTACTTCCGATAAATGTATTTTAATTGATATTGACATGTCAATCTAATTAAGTCACTGCGGCATTGCAGTCCAGATATCTAGCCATTAGTAACATTAACCGATGAAACATATTGATTAATGTGCATTTTAATGATTGACTATAATAATATGGTGATTGATATATTTGAAATGTTTGGAAAGATATCCATACAACATTGACATGTCTTCATGTAACTTTTGTAGCTTTAATGTAGCTTTTCTTTTCAGTCTAATATATTTTACAATTTAGATTTCATCCATTCCTTTACTGAGAGATGTGTCTCAGAGTCATAAATTATATCAGTTGGAAATATTGGTTCATCTATCAGTATCTGTACTGATGTGATGTCATTTTCTTCACCAACTGAGTTTCAATAGATTTAAAAAATAAGTCTGCTAAGTGAATCGCAAGGGAAAATCGGACCCTTACCTGCCCACATCAGCAACACCACGACGATGATGATCATCTCTCCTGTTTGGAGGTTTCTGGACTTATCTAAACCCTGCACTGTTGGATCATCTGTGGAGACAGTGAGGACAGTGCAACCAATAAAAATGTTTCATTTAGGCTGTCCTGGGCTTCCAGTAACTTCTGTGATTTTTCAGACCACAGAATGTTATTACTGTCTTCTATCATATTTCAATGCTTTCTTCTGAAGTTCTTACTTAAAAACAGGATTATTTTAAGGTTTCATCTCATTTTATAGGCATATAATATACAAACACAAAATATATTTTGTGTATGAATTGTTTGTGTCCATCTATCCATCCATTATTTGCCGCTTATCCCGGGTCGGGTCGCAGGGGCAGCAGTCTAAGCAGGGATGCCCAGACCTCCCTCTCCCCAGCCACCTTCATGGGCTGTCACGAAATCTCCTGGTAGGACAGGAGTCATCTTAGACTAATACCCGAACCACCTCAACTGGCTCCTTTCGATGCAGTGGAGCAGCTGCTCTACTTTGAGCTCTTCCCAAATGCCTGAGCTCCTAACCCTATCTGTAAGGCTGAGCCTGAATACCCTGTAAAAGAAACTCATCTCTGCTGCTTGTATCCTCAGTCTCATTCTTTTGGTCACTACCCAAAACTCATGACCATAGGTGAGATCAGGAACATAGATCGACTGATAAATTGAAAGCTTTGTCTTCCACTTCAGCTCTCACCGACAGAACGGTACAGCAAGGATATCCCAGAATTCCCCAGCAGTCCGCTACAATTTATTATATGTAATATAAACAACAAACATGCAGTATTTACTGCAACCCCCACTAAACAGAGCAGACTGAAGATGGATGGATGGTCACATAGTATGTATATTTAATTTATACGACCTAGATGCCAGCTTTAATCATCTTTATGACCACAGTAGCAGAGCTGCCACAATATGTCTACATTTTACTATACAATACATGAATGTCATACTAAAGCCAAGTTCCGAGGAACAGCTACAGTAAATAAACACCAGTGAAAGTGATAATGTGAGGAGCATGCCGGACGTCTGAGGCGTGGCCTGTAGGGCAATGGACCTGGGACAGACCATGTTTCTGAAGCAGCAGAGATGATGTAGCTGATTACTGACCTGTGAAATTTTCTAATGTACCTTGGGAAGAGAACCGCCCTTGTTACGGTTCCATACCAATCTTTGAGATGAGCTCCAGCTACCGCCCTCTATAGGGACCTTATGGCATTACACCCCATCCTCAGGCTTTGCCATGTGAGTGATGAGCCACTTGGTTATTTAACATTTCATCTCCTGAATTGTCCAGCCTGACTTTGCTTGCCTATAGGGTGTGATCCAGTAGTCCAAATCCAATCATGCTACTCTGTGTGTGATTATCAATTACTCTTTTGGGGAACATCTATCATATCTACAATCTATCATATCTACAATGTGAGCAATACACGTGGCCTAAATCTACAGTACCGTGCAAAAGTCACAATCTAACATTGGAACATATGGAAATTAACACAATAAAAACTAATATGAATTTCTTCTGTTCTCCAGAGAGGTACTGACTAGATGAACACTGCTTCAGTTCCCAAACTTCTCTCTTAAATTTCACCATCAGCTCACTTAATTTATTTATTTAATTAGTTAAGAAAAGTCAATGAGATATTGATTAGCTATACAAGATGTGCTAGTAGTTGAGTCAAAAAATGGTTGCTGCAAATTCTGGGATGATTCCTCTGCCGCCCCCTGGAGGATGGGCTCCCCCTTGAGTTTGGTTTCTCCTTATCCAAGGTTTCTTCCTTCTTGGGAGTTGTTCCTTGCCACTGGCACCTCTGGCTTGCTCACTTTGGGTGGGGATAATGTAAAGCACTTTGAGACAATGTAATGCTGTAAAAATGCGCTATACAAATAAAATTGAATTTAATTTAATTGATTTTAGCAGAGGCTTTGAAATAGCTAAGCTAACTCATATTGACAGCCATACCATCATAGCTGTACACCAACATAAAGATCATTTAAAAATTCTTTGGCTGTGTAAGACTTTTGCACAGTACTGTACATGGATAAGATGCGATGCTTGCAAAACCCCAGAAGCCTGTCTAACATGAAATGGCCATTATGTTCATAGGGAATGACGTTAATCTATTTTGGAGTGGAATGAAATCCATGTTTCTGTGTGTGTAACTGTATCTCTATCTATGTATCTCTTTATCTCTTTAGTCCGTCTAGTTCTTTACATTGTTCTGCTTGCAGCTTTGGATGAAGATTTTTGGTCTTTATTGTCTTGCTGACTAATGTGAAATAACCAGGATCGAATTACCCGCCAAGGCAACGGCAGACTCCCGGCGTAACAGAAGACGGCTCAGTAACGCTTTACAATAACTGCACCTTCATAGTAGATTCATTATATGTCCATAGAACATTCAGTGCACCTTCAAAATACATTCATAATGCATTCATAGGACATTCATAGGCAGCATGTAATATACCTTAACAGCCTAACATACCTTAAAGCTTTAATATACATTAATAACAAGCAGGATGAGTTACGTATTTCAGTGTTTGGTCTGGTCTTTACAACCCAGTCCAATTACAACCATTGAAAGGAAGAATCAATGGAAAACAGATGTATTGATGAAGAGATGAAAAATAGTGCTCTATGATTTTTCTAAACTGTTCAGTCTGATGACACGTATTTCATTCAGATGGGTGAAGGGCTTCAATAGTTTTGAGGTGCCCTTTAATGCGTGGTGAAGCACTGGCACATTCCAGCATAACATCACTCTCCTCCTGCTACCCCAACACTGAAAAAGTGCAAAGCAATCCACACATTCATCTTGGGGATCAGTCTTCATTAGTGGGATTTACGGCTCGTGGGTGTTCCCCATTTCCTCTGTGACCATCTCTTAACCTGTGTGGAATCGCTCCAGAGCACCACTCTTCCCGATTGATCCTTTGTGTTTTGTGAGTCACACTGAGAATCCCTATTTCCCAATTCCGGATTGTCAGCTTTCCTGCCAGTTATAAAAGGCTCATTTGTAGTATACACTGGGTGTTTTACAATTCTCAGTTATAGCTGCAGGGGGGGGGGGGAGTTAAGTTGAAATACCGCCTACTGCTTCTGACGTTAATCAATGGATCTTTATCAAGAAATAAAATTTTACACTCGGCTGAGAAATGCCATAAACATAAACATCCACGGGGCAAGAAAACTTAATCCCCTATCACAGTAAAATGTCTGGCTATATTTCCCCGCAACGCAAGCTTCCAATGATAAGAAAGAAATGTAAAAAAAAAAAAAAAGTCTAATTATTCTTTTCATTATTATTTAAATGATTTTTTCATGCGTGTGTTTTCTCTTGCACATAAAAATGCTGCATGATCTGTTACATGCCAGCTGAGAATGAAGACAAAGACATGATGGCGACGCTGTAATCTCTCTTGGGGCTTTTCTGAGTCTCTCATTGGCTGCACTGTTTTTCAATCAATCAACCAGTCAACTTTGCTTTAGTCACAAATCGTTTTACAGTAATTAAAACCAATTTCCCATTACAATGTGAAAACCCAACAAACATTTAAAAGGCAGTATTGGAATGAAATGTAATCATTCCATCATCCCGTCAAAAAGGTTATTAAGTAGTATCACTAAAATGACACTCACTTACTGTAATGCATAAATGAAAAACACAGTTGTAAATAATTGATAAAAATAGCAATTTTGGCATCCGTAATTACTCCTTTTTAAATATGACTAGGGGGTTTTGCTAGGGCTATTTTAGAGGGGCTGAGCCCCCCCCCCCAAAAAAAAACAATAAATATACAGTAATTACTTTAAATGTTGTGCTATCATTCATTTTCATTAAAATCAGACCCTCCTCCAATATAGGTTTAACCTCCCTTTTCCTGAATCTCTACTCATACTCCTGAATATGACCAGCAGTGTAGCATTGGAGAAAAGTCATGGTTTAATGTAATCCTGGGTTTGGTGGATGGATGGATGGATGGATGGATGGATGATCATTCCTGTTGCACATACCTTTGAAATAATAGTCATTTGAAAGTGAGCCTAAGCGAGGAGCATTAAAGAGAGAATCGCACTCCCACGATAACTGGGTCAAAGCTGCTCTTGGCGGCGCAGACAACAAAGGAATGAATCAGAAACCCCCTCCCCCAAGAGCTGTTTCTATGATTGTGTTACAGTTTGTGGGTGCAGCAGTTATCTCTCGGTTTAAAAGAGAAACCACAGAGTTTGCATACTCTCTGTGTAATTTAATTGTCTAACATTTTTGTGCGTTCCACAGTGACACACACATTAATATTTTATATGGTTCCATTGGGGAGAGAGCCACTTAGATCCCAGACAGTTATATACAAAATAATACATTAAGATTTCTTTTTGAATTAAAATCATCTGAAATTGAGGTCCAGAAATGGTGTGGCTGATTAAGTTGGTTTTTCTCGGACGCAGACACAACTAGCGGTGAGCCATTAATCAAATGACAGAATCCTGGGACAGCTGTTTGAGACACATTTAGAGGAGAGGATGGGAGAGAGACCAAGCTGGACGCTCGTTCATTCACATTCATATCCATTCCCCATCAGTCTCATTAATGGATTCTAATGATGCCTTATTTTAAGTGATACAGAATCTCTAGAAGCATATACTGTACAGACTTCTCAGTTCACATTAATTATAGAGGTTTTAAAAGCTTTTCAAGATCATATAAACAAATAATCATTAATCAATAAACCTTGCCAGCTTAGTCCAAAACCCTCTGCTTAGGTTTGTTTTCAGTGACACATGTTTTTTAACCCATTTTCTTTGGGGCTACAAAAAGCTGTCCTCATTCAGTGAAGTTTGAGGTCAGTAAAGCTTTCTCTCTGTTGTGAAGTACAGTGTCCAAATGCGAAGCCAGGCTCCATTAAAAGAAAAAAAAACACCACTTTGCTTCGCTGAATTATATATTGGGGGGACTCCATTGTATTTTAATGAATATATAAATATTTTTAGAACAGAAATGTAATGCCACTGAAACTTTTTTAGTACTGAATCTAAACACTGTACTTATCAG